TATTTGTCGATAGAATTAGAGATCGAACGGTGTTGGTGGCTATCACTGGATCCATCGTAGTCCGACTTTTTCCTGCAATCTACGAAAATGCGATCACTGAATCCGAATTGCTACGAACGTGTGTATTTAAAGTATACGCTACGAATTTAATGATAGCATTTTTGTACGATTAACGAAAAATCGTCCTACAATGGATTCCGAGATAGCCCTGATTGTCTTGCCGCGTGGACTACATATTTGCTTGGTTCCCGGACTTAGCAGTATACATACATAGAGGGAAACGAGCCAACTGATGAGATAACGAGGTATGGCCCTAAGATACCGATAAACGTTTCCCGAGACGCGTCGAGTTGGGAGGATTCGAGATCCCAAAATATTTAAGGCCGCTTCTGAATAACAAAATGACGAAAACTCTACAGTCGTGCGGTCAGAAGACCAGCGCCATCACATGACATTGACTCATTACCAAGGACTGCTATCCGCTGAAGCTGACGCGATGAGAATTAGGAGGAATTCGTTGAACACTTTCTATGTGTATCTCCGGCCTTACGATCTCTAATTAGAGCTGTCGAAAATTGTCGAAAGTGGTCTACTTTTTATTTGAATGCTCAATGCGGCTTCGACATCGAGCACAATCAAACAAAAATTTATAGCTAATTAATTGAGTTCAAATAACTTGCATTTATTGAAAAATTATGGAAAAATTATTCTGCGAAGGCTAACATTTTTCAAGCTTTTGTACATATACTAAGTACTTATACATACAAACATACATACATACGAGCTTATAGCCATAAATCCATAAGATCATTTTATGAGATCTCAAAGTGCCAAAGAAAAAGTGGAAGCAACTCAAGTGAGACGATTGTGGAAATCACATAAAAAAGCAACACATTACCAATGTTTTAATTTCTATTTATTCGCGAACATTATTTTACATTATTTTTCTGTGCACTTTTTATAAAATTTTAATGAATTGCATCGAAGAAAACAAAATGTGTTTGTCTGCACCGTTGAATAACAAAAACATGTCAGCAAGTTTGAAAATGCACACCTATACATGCACACATGCCACACATGGCGCAGCCCCAAGCTCTGCTGCAGCTGCAGAACTTCGGACTGCCAAAGCTACGTACGCTTATTGCAATTAATAGAGCCAATGATTAGTGAGATGAGGGCGATCTTAAAGCGTGTTGGCTTTCCATGTTAGCTCTAGCCGCAGCAGCTTTGCCTGCGCAGAATCCAAGCGCTGCTTAGTAAATAGCATGCAGACACGCCAACTCTTCACAACAAAACATCAAAACGCAATTTATAAAAGCAAGACGCGTACAGAAAGTTGACTGCAGTTGCATTTAGAATTCGACGTAGCGCTGAAACATTGAGCTGAGCTGCCGTAACCAGGCGCTCCCAAAAAGGATTACAGTCGCGCAGGCACACAAAGGACGCAAGTGTGCCAAGAAAGCAGCTCATCTCGTCTACTCCTCTAAAGGATTGCACACACACACAGCATGCGGCTCAGCAACACAATCGAGTGGCTGCTCATTGCCATCATGATCAGTTTAATGCTCGATATAATAGCAGCACGCCATCACCGCCACCTTGCACACCAGCGTCACCACCAGCATCAGCACCAGCACCGTCAGCCACTACCAGCGCACTCCATCAAACACCAGCAACACTCTTCCACGCGCATTACAAAGCGCACAGGCAGGGCAGCCACAGGCAGGGCAGCCACGTCCTCCAGCTGGTTTGGTCCTGAATTTATGATTGCGCGTCGCGTCTACGAAGATTGTCAAGAAAAGAATGACTTTATCGGTTGCCTTAAGCAGAAGGCGTTACATGCTCTCTCACGCGCACTCGAACAGGATTCCATTAAAATAGTGGATGGTCTGGTGTTGGAAAAGCAAAATAGCACCGAAAAGGAGAGCATCATCAACTCGCTAACAGATGCACGCACGCTTACCACACTGAGTCCGGTCGATCGTGCGCTACTCGCTAAAATCGATAAATTAACGCGCACGCATGCGCTAAAGATCGATATGAGTCAGGGGCGTGGACATGGACATGGCGACGATGATGATGACTATCATGGGCATAAGAAGAAGAAGGATAAGGGTGGCGGTCATATTAAATATGTGATTGCGGCGCTGCTCACTGCCATGGGTATAGCGGGTCCCATTGGTTTGAAGGCGCTAGCGGCGATCGCCACCAAGGCGTTGGTAATTAGCAAAGTGGCGCTGACGATCGCCGGTATTATAGCGCTGAAGAAGCTATTCTCACATGACCATCAGGAAGAGTCAAGCTTTCAGGTGCATGCGGGCGATCACAATCGGTGAGTTATAGTGAAGGGCCTATCGCCGTAGGCGAAGAATAAGTTGCGAAGGAAGAGCATTTAAATTTAAGAAAAATTAATTTAGTTATTTGCACTAATTTCCTAATTTTGTCATATTTTCTTTTTTTTTATTTTAAACAGCCGCAGCACCTATGTAATACGCCCGGTGAGTAAAACCAATCAGCCGACAGCTGCCGGTGGTATCAGCCAATATTCGGATCCATATCGCTACTACTATGAATATCATTAATCACAAATGGACTCGTGTATAAATTGCGTATGCGTTTAATTCCTTATGTAATGTAACCGTTTGTTAATTTTAGGGTTTCATTAAAAGAAAAAAAAAACACAAACAGCTAAACACCAAAGAAATTCACTTTTAATTGGTAGAAGTTTGTTAAAAAGAAAGACGTGTAAACGTCCCGTATTGTTTGACTAAAAAAGTCATTATTCTTGGGCGTTGAAAAAGGATATCTGGGGTTTTTTACCATTTACCTATTAAATAGCTGGAATATATGTGTGCTTGAGCCTGGTCCTAAAGAACGTTGTTTTTAAAAACGCTTCAGTCTGACACAAAATATTATATTAAGAAGACTACCAAATAGTACTGATTTGTTGTACAATAGATTATACTTAGCACACTTTGCAATATATTAGTATTTTTTTTTTTTTAATAAAACATATACTTATATTAAACGGTAAAAAAGTGCTTTCATTTCTTAAAATTTGACATGCACAGCTCCTTAAGAAGTCAAATTGCCGACCCTGTTCATAAATCTTGTTTTCTTATTTGGCGTATAGAGAGAGGCGACTGCGCTCTGAATCGCCCTGCAAGAAGCGTTGATCAAGTGTCTTCAGCATCATTCTTGCAAGGTACCTAGGTGCCAGGTACTCAAAGAAATAATGAAAAAAAATAATAATAAGTGAATAAAAATGCAAATTTTCGGCAATTTTAATCATATTTTAGCTTTCAATCGAGCTGATGGGCTATTATCTATGAAAAATGCTACGAAACGCCTGGAAAACGCCTTCGTGGTGCGTTAAGCGAAATGAAAGCTTCATATTGATGTGTTCAAAGAAAACCCCGGAACCTAGCCTGCGTTTTATGTTTGATCCGTCAATGAAGACAGCTATTTCCACCACGCACTTAAGTCTCCCCCGGCTTTGGAATTTCAGGTTTCTTTACAGTAACCTAAAGTCCGTGAATTGATTTCTGGCCTCTGATTTCTGAAGTTTCTCTTGAGTTTTTAAGGGTCATAATCCTCAGCTTGATTTCCAAATTTGAACGAATACAATAAAAATTACTCTTTCGGTTTTTTTGTAAGATAAAATTGAACGATAAAGGAGCGGCGTTTTCTTCTTTCAAATAAATGGTTTCCGCTGTCCTTTTCATTCCAGTCGCCATAGCAAATGTGGAAAGAATATTTTCTCAAATCAATTTGAATACAACAAGAAATAAACTAGAAAATGCAGCACTCTCTAAAAAAAAACGCCTAAGGAAGTACTCAATTTGAGGTATTGAATCAAATGCTTAAAAAAATTAGCAAAGCAATTAACGAAAAATAATGAACCTGAATTTAATTAAAATTAAATGCGATCAAAATGTTCCAATGTTCCAAGTCTATTTGTTTAGTTAAGTATCATTTTTACGGCTTAAAAAAACCTTAGTTTTTTTTAACTCGTCGTTTGTGAAGATTACCGAGTTTTGGGTCGAAAACAGTTTTTTCTGCAAATCTAGTTTTTTGGAAAAAAAACATCTGGCAACACTGGTCGTATTATAGGCGTTTAAAACCAGGGCTCGAATCGTCACATACGATATCGTACTACTCGTCACGTAAAAATACATTTTTCGGATTATGACATACGTGATCGTACCCTTTGTCCCATTCAGCTTATACTGACCGACGTATCACGTAATTTTCTTTCGTATCGTTTTCGATCCGTGAACGGATGTTACGATTCGAGTCCTGGGCTTGTCAGTGGTGTAAGCTGAATGGGATAAAGAATACGTTCACGTATGTCATAATCCGAAAAATGTGTTTTTACGTGACGAGTAATACGATATCGTATGTGAAGATTCGAGCCCAGTGTGCAACATATGGCTCCAGTCCCTATTTGTTGCTTAGAATTCTTTTGACTGCATAGAGAACCACCAAACCAAAGCTGCTTTGCTCACTACATGGCATGACGTCACATGATATTACATCACATCACAGGACATGACATCCTATCACATCAAATCACATCGTGTCTAGTGATCGTCATCATCTCGCCTCTCATCAAATATCTAATTGATATATACAGATGGAGAAAGGATAAAAGCAAAAATAAAAAAATAAAAAAATAAAACCAAAGAGGAACACCATCATAACGAAATTATAACATTATACAGTGCTTATCATAACTTTATGACATTCACGTATTAACAAGTTTTGACTATTCATTTTATTATTTTTTTTATTTTAATTATTTGCTTGTAAAAGTATAGCTTATTTTTTAACAAAAACCATATAAATGTTTCAATCTTTGTGCAATATTAAAAAAAAATCAAGAAAGTTTCTTAAAAATTTAGAGCATTTTAATGAGATTTCGCAGAAATATTTTTAGTATGCTGTCCATTCAATTTCAATATAATAAAGAGGAAGTTTGAAGTAGCTGGGACTTACCGTTGATTTTTGGCATTTTTCTTCTTTTTTTTTTTGTTTCACGATGTCAGTCCTTTGCTTCCATACGAAGTATGTTCGACGAGTCTTTTGTATGGAGTAAAATAAAATTTTCAAAAATCAACGGGTAAGTCCCAGCTACTTCAAGCTTGCACTTTATCATACTGAAATCGTATGGGCTACAAAACTGCATACTCAAAATATTTCTACGAAATGTAATAAAAAGCACAAAATGTTTCCGAAAATTTGTAGATTTTTGTTTTTAAATATTGCACAAAGAATGAAACTATGGCTTTTGGTTGATGAATAAATTATAGTTTTATAAGCAAATAATTAAAATTAATAAATAATAAAATAATTAGTCAATTTGCCAGTATGTTAGCCTTGTGAAGTTATGATAAGCACTATGTAGCTGGTATAGTCATTTGTTTCACAATTTCTAACCAATAAAATATATATGTCTAATGATTATGATTGACAAACTAGATACATTTATAACGGGAGTATCACTTCTACAGTGTGGCCCAAGCGCACTTACCTTTTAAGCCCAGCTCATTATATAAAAAATACCATATAAATCCGCATTTCCAACTTTTTACAAAAATTATAAAATTTCAACAAATTTTCATGGAAATTTAAAACCTGATACGCAGTTTTATAGCCCGTTAAATCGTAGAAAAATACAGCGAAAGTTTCAAGTGGCTAGAAAGTACCATTGATTTTGGGATTTTTTTTTTGTTGCCATATAAAAAATGCGTGACACCGCCAGAAAAAAAAAAGCAAAAACTAAATAGGGGTATTAACCGGTGATTTTGTTGTTGTTTAATGTGTTCAAACAACAACAACATTAGCCAATCATGATGTGTATGCTATACAGCATGGCAACGAAAAAGACTTGCGTGCCAAATGAACTTTTCTCTCAAAGTTTACACCGCTGGCAAATGTAAATAAGGATCAAAATTTAAAAACTAATGAATACAACTAAAGTAAAATATGTGGAAAATTTACAATAAAATACTTTTTTCGCAAAATCTATAAAGGACCATTTTATATCTAAAACAAACCTGGGTAATAGTTATTCGTCGCCACGCTGTATATGCACCATGTTAGACAGTATGCACCGGATCGTGAATACCCTTTATGGTTTTTGTAGCCACTTGAAACTTGCACTTTATTATACTAAACTTTAACGGGCTATAATACTGCATACCAAAAATATTCTAAAAATCTGAATGAAAAGTTTAAAATTTGGTGATTTGGTGCTGCAGGCTAAACTCGTACCTGAGCAGAGTGAACGAAGATGTCCCCAACCAGTGCCCAGCATGCGGAGAGTCGCCACATCACTCACGACACCTCTTCGCATGCCCCCAAAACCCCACCCAGCTAACGCCCCTGTCCCTATGGACAGACCCTGTAGAACTTGCGCACTTCCTGGGCCTCCCCTTAGCTCAACCAGACGACAACGTTGACGGATGAGCCGACTCGAGCGGGGTTTAGTAGCCGCTACAACAAAAACAACAACAACCTAAGGTCACAGTGCACATCCTCTAACAAATCTATGTATAAAAAAATAACAAACATTACATAGCCAAAGGAAAAATAGCCAAAACTGATAAAAATTCTTTGGCTTAATTAGTTTAGCACAACTGTATATTACTTACGCATTTTCGAACTAAAACCGGGTTTAAGGCTGCGCTGGGTTGATGATATTTTGGTGATGTGGTGGTTAAGGCGATTTAGTGACATGTGTGATACTAGACATGCTGAGATGTTCTTGTTGTTGTTGTAGCGGCTACAACAACCCCGCCCAGATCGGTTGGTATCTCAGCCGTTGTCGTCATGTTCCACTAACGGCAGCCCTAGGAAGCGTGCAGCTTCTATTGGGTTGGTCCACAAGGACAAAGCCGTTAGGGTTGTCGGGTTTTCCGGGCATGCGAAGAGATGTTTCGAGTTATGTGGGGTCTCTCCGCATGCCGGACACTCATTTGGCACATCCTCATTCAACCTACTCAGGTAGGAGTTTAACCTGCTGCAGTAGCCAGAGCGGAGTTGGGCTATTGTCGTTCGTGTCTCCCGAGGCAGATGAAGCTCCGTCTCGTCTATGTCCGGGGGCGGTATGCCTAGAACGGCATTCACAGGTCTAGAGTCTACATAACTCGAGACTGACTCCCTGTGAATGCCGTTCAGGACCAGTCGGTAAGCTGACGGGTCCAGAGGTTGCTTGATGAACCTCTGGACTTCGTCCGTCAGTTCGTATAGATGCCTCCTGACATGCCTAGGCGAGGGCTCCTCTGCAAGCAGCTGTCTGTTTGGGTGGCCACTTCTGTGGCTGTTGTGCTCCTTTATGGGGAGCATTTGTGCCTCGTCGTAGAGATGATGTTCGGGCGACATCAGGAGGCATCCTGTCGCTGTCCTGAGTGCGGTGTTCTGTACAGTCTGTAGCTTCGTCCACTGCGTCCTACTAGTCCCCGGCGACCACACTGGCGCTGCGTAGTTTTAAACCGGCCGGCCTATTGCCTTGTATGTTGCCAGCAACGTTTCTTTGTCTTTGCCCCAAGTACTGCCGGCTAGCGACTTGAGGACCTTGTTGCGGCTCTGTACTTTATTGACAATAGCGGTTGCGTGCGCAGAGAAGGAGAGCAGGCTGTCGAATATTACTCCGAGTATTTTGGGGTTATTCACCGTCGGAATTGGTATGTCATCGGCGTGAATTCCCAGCGGTAGCCTGACCTCCTTCGTCCAGGTTGTGAAGAGGGTCGCAGAGGATTTCGTAGGGGAGAGGGCTAGACACTTTGCAGTGAAGAAGCGAGAAAGTTCGGAGAGATACCCGTTTACTTTCGAACACAGGTCATCAACTCCATTCCCAGTCGCCAAGATCGTGCAATCGTCGGCGTAAGAGACAATCGAGACTCCCTCTGGTGGTTGAGGGAGGTTTGAAATGTAAAAGTTAAACAGTAGCGGGGAAAGGACACCACCCTGTGGAACCCCGTTTTATTTTTCTGAGTTTACTCGATTTGTCTCTAAACATTACCGACGAGTGTCGACCACCGTTTGAGCCTCTGTGGGAGAGAAGAAGCCTCTATATCTTCTAGTAGCGTGGAATCGCTGACAGTGTCAAAAGCCTTTGACAGGTCCAACGCTACCAGAATCGTTCTCTCACAGGGACAGTTACGGTTAAGGCCACGAGTTATCTGAGTGTTTATGGCGTTAAGTGCTGTTGTTGTACTGTGCACTTTACGGAAACCATGCTGATGCTTCGCTGGGGTCAGGTGGTTCGTGAAATACGGGAGCAGCAGGGCCTCAAGTGTCTTCGCTACCGGGGAAAGGAGCGTTATCGGTCGATACGAATCTCCTTTGTTAGCGGGTTTCCCCGGTTTGAGCAGTGGGCCCACTCTTCCCACCTTCCAGATGTCTAGGATGATGAGAGAGCCATAGACAAATTGAGGACCTCCGTTAGGTACGCTACTCCCGCAGGACCCAAATTTTTCAGCATCAGCATGCATATTCCGTCGGGACGCATGGCTTTGGACGCTTTCGCCTTCCCGATGACCACCTGAACTTCACCGCAAGTGAAAGCAAGGGGGGCACAATTTGTTGGCAGTTTGTGCAGCCTTCTGGTCACTCGACGCTTGGTTTTGTCCAACGGAGGATGCAGTATGAACTGCCGGCTAAAGTAGCTCGCGCATCGCTCCGGGTCCGACGAGGCATGTTCGCCGAAAGAAATTTCGACTCTGTCGTCGTGCTTCGTCGGATTGGACAGTGACCTCACGGTTGACCAAAGCTTACTCACACCAGAGGTGAAGTTACAGGTCTTCAGATGTTGTTCCCACTTCAACCGCTTATGTACGTTCACTAGTTGCCGAATCTCCGGGTTGAGATCCCTGATACGGGGATCACCGGGATCGGCCTGACGAAGGCTGTCACGCTCATCGGCTAGAACAGCCGCTTCGGCAGAGAAATTTGGACGTGGGTCAGTGATACATCCTGCCGGTACGAAGCGGGCTGCAGCAGCAGTGACAGCCCTGCGGAACTTACGTTCACCAAGGTGGACGTCGGTTGGTGTGGGGAGAGCAGCGAAGGTGTTTTCAGTAAATTCCGCGAAGCCTTTCCAATCAGCTTTGGAGAAGTTGATATATGTTCGTTGCTCCGCGGAAGCAAAGTCGGTTGGTTTGTCGATCGAGATGACTATGGGCAGATGGTCTGATGCCAAAGTCAGCATAGGTCGCCATGATATGCTGTTTATCAGACCAGCGCTGACTATTGTTACGTCTGGCGAGCTGCAGCAGCTGCCCATAATCCTGGTGGGTGCGTCGTCGTTCATTGTGCAGAATGTCGAATCGTCTATCTGCGGTCGATGTCTGCTTCGATAAGACGATACTGCACGGTGTGGTGCGTGATGAACGCTAGGCCACCACCATTATCTCGCTGCGATCTCGACGGTGCACGTTGTACCCGGCACAATTCAACAATATTGAATTGCTGTGCAGCTTCGTCTCTTGGACCGCAGCTATCAGTATACCATGCTTTCCCATAGACGGTTATCTCCTCGATCTTGCTCTGAAGCCCGTTGCAGTTAAATTGAAGGAGCTTCATGTGGTTCGGGAGACGTGTGGTAATGCGGGGTGTGAGAGATATGTGTGGCCGTGACGCCATTGGCTGTGTGCGCTGCTGAGGTAGTTGCCGCCCTGTGGCGGTGGTGGGTGGCTTCGCGTTTGAAGTTTGCGACCGTGCTGCGCAACACGGGCTCTCGAAGTTCCTCGTCCAATCTCGCGTAATGCGCAGACCTAAACATGCCCTAAAAAGGCACCAGCCAAGGCAGGTGTTGCACTTGACTGATGTCACATTACGGAATATCCAGGTCTGACATACTGTGCAGATTGTAGGAGGAACCAAGAGTTGTTGGCGGCGGCGTGTGGGTGGTGGTGCGGTTGTGTGTGTTCTGTGGTCTGTCGCAGTGGTGTGATCTATTGTGTTGTTATGTTGTTGTGCTGTGGTGTTTGTGTGGGACTGCTCAGGTGGACTAGGGTTAGCCGTGGAGGCTGCTCTGTTTGAGCAGCAGGGGGCCACATACGATGTGGTCCACTGCCGATGTGTCCGCAGTCCTGAGCAGACTCTGAGGTGACTCCACCCCTCGCAAGCATTGCACTTGACTGAGGTGGAGTTGTGGTGTAGTCGTCTCTGGCATACACAGCAGGTGTAGGTTTCTGGTCCTGGGTTTGACTCGATGCCAGCCCTGAGTGGAAGAAAACGTAGCGAATGTAGCCCTATGGACGAACAACTTCTGAGATACTTCGCCGACCTAAACGGGGTTAGATCGCCGAAACAACAGCCCTTGGTCGGGTAAAACCCGAGTCATTCCGGTACGTAGAACCGGCTGTCGTGGGAATGGGCATGCTGAGATCTGCTACTTCGGTTTCCTGGGTCTGAAGAAAAAAACTGTATTAAAAAATAAAATAATAAATTTTCAAATAACAAACCTGTTATTCAGGCAACAATCGTTATTTTGGTATTTCGCCACTCTGAAAATCTTATCCAAAGCATTTTTACTGTGATATTAGTGCGTTGAATTCCGTGGAATGTTAAAACACCGACAGATATCGTTTAACCATTAATCATCCTTGCAAATCGGCAAATCAATGGGCCGTATAAATAAAAAACTAAGCAATTGCCATTTCTGAAAATTGCAGACCGTTCACTTAAATTTATGTGAATAAATCGAGTAAAAGGTCTGAAATTCGGTTTCTATTCATACGGCCTAATAACCTAAATTCGAAAAATCAATTCGTTGCATTTCGTTTTTTTTTAAACTTAATCGATATTGATGTTTCATCGTTTGTTTTATACAAAGTTAATGAATTTATTTTAAGTAAAGTAGCTTAAAATGTAGTACCTTCAACAATGCCAATATTTACGTTATTTTTGTATTTATTAACTTCTATCAATTTTTACATACATTAGAGTGTACATATATAAGAACTCTCCCTTCTTTAAGCTTATATGACTCAATCATTTTGTACATAATTGCCGTTGCCAAAGAAAGGTAAAAAAACGGAAATGAAAACAATACTCGAAGGTGCTTATAGTAGTGTCGAGAAAAATGAGAATAAATGTGCAAACCATTAATTTAACTAAAGTGCAATGTTATCTAGATAATATAGTTTTCTTTTATTGGCACAGCATGTGATCTTTAGAATTTTTTTGTTCAAATGTCCTCTGACGGCGCAAGTTCATGCAAAATGTTAAATATATTTTATGTATATCGATTATTATGTACTAGGCGAATTTCAGAATGAGAAACCCAAGTGTAATTTAAAATCTTATCAAATTTTATGTGCCAATATTCCAAATCCAAAAAATTACATTCAAGTTCGGGCAAGCAGTTGCAGCACAACCTACCACCTTCCATATCTGCTTAATATGTATTTTGCCGCTTTTCTACATAAATTCTATTTTTACTTAAATTGTCTTTACAAAATTAGAAACGCAATTTTCAAACCACTTTGTTACTTGTGATAAACTCAATATTTTCTACTAAATCTATTTAATTCTTTGAATTGAAAAAATAATATTCGTCATCCTCGACCGTTACACATTCCACGTTATCGCCATTGCCGCTGCTGCCGACTGCACCACCATCACCGACCGCCGCATTCTCCAGACTTCATCCGGTTACTTCTTCGCTCGCAAAGTCCAATTTGACCACATCAGCTGGCAGACCCTCTTCCTCGTGCTCCTGTGTGTTGATACGATTTAACGTCATCATTACATCTGGACCAGATTTCAGAGTTATAGACGTAGTTGTTTGCGGTGCAGTAGTCGTTACTGCCACCCCACTTGACCCCGACTGCGCTACCCCTGTGGCGGCGGGGACCATCACTGTAGTTGGCGCAACAGCTGTTATGGAAGCAGCGCTGCTGGCTACCACTAAAGCTTGTTGAGTCGTTGTTTGCTGCTGCTGCTGCTGCGGCTGCGGCTGCGGCTGTGGTTGCGGCTGCGGCTGCGCCGACTGCACCACCGGCTGTGATGCCGTTTGTAAGACGACGTTTTCGGTGACCGTAGCCACTGTAGGTGCCGCCGAAGCAGCTAGCAATGCTTTCTGCTGTTGCATTTGTTGAAATTGCTGCAACGTTACTGTGGTCGTATGTGGTTGTTGTATGATTTGTGTTGCGGCGCTGGTTTGCTGTATGATAATCTGTTTTGGTGATGTTTGCAACGACTGTGGCGCGGTAAGTGTTGGTTGTGTATGTTGTTGTTGCTGATGATGCTGTGACACTCGTGTTGTTTGCACCGGCAATATACGTTGCACGTGTTGTATATGCACTGTTTGCGGTGTTGTTGATTGCGTTTGCTGCTGCTGCTGTTGCTGTTGCTGTGTGGTTACTAACTGCGGTTGTTGCTGTACTATAACATTAGCAGTGTCGTGCTGCTGTTGTTGTTGATGCATTGCATTCAATTGTATTGTTTGCTGCTTGACGACGTGTGTCTGTTGTGTGGGCACTTGTTGCACGGCTTGGATGACATGTTGCACTTGCTGTACAGGCACCTGCTTCGCAGGTATTCCTGCATCTTCGAAAGCTTTCTTCTTAAGCGCTTGTCGTATTTGAGAGCTGTCGGGTAGAAGAAAAAATTAAAAACGCTAGCTTTTTTATAATAAAATGTCCTCTCGCTACATCCTTACGGCAACAAGGCTAAGGCAAAAAAAAAACAAGATTTTTCAAACTTACACAGTCCGATTTTTAATGCTTAAGCTAATTTTATTCAAATCATCTGAGAAACGTATTATTGATGAATGTAGCATATTTATCTCCTCATCGGTCCATTTTCTGCGCGATAGAAGTGACAAAGGGAACATAAAAAGTCCGCGTAGCGTTAAAGGTGGCAATGACAGATGGACATGGAATATAGCGAGAGAACAAAACGAATGTTACAAAATGAGTTATAAGCACAAAATATTAATTAAAGTTAGCTTTTAAAAGCATGTATTAAATATTTCTAAAATTTCGTTCAAATATATTTTATATCGCAGAAGTACGCTCAAATACTGATAGAGTGTCTTCCAAGTTGCACTCGCTTATAGACAAAAAATGTGAATTAAGATCGAGCATACTTTATATGGAATAAAATGCACAACGCCGTTAGCCAAAGAAATTATTAAAAAATCAGCGCGATTTTCTAGCGTCTTAAAAGTTGCTTTATCCTACTATAATTGAGTGGGATATAGAACAGCATTCCTAAAATTTTTCTAAAAATTCTGAATAAAAAGTTTTACATTTTTGGGTGCGATTAGTAAATTTTGTGAATCTTTATAACTTTTCTATGAAGTTTGATTTGTGGATTTAAATGGTGCTGGTTATATGTACAGCGTGGCGACGAATAACTGTTACCCAGGTTTTTTTGAGAAATAAAAGGGTCCTTTGTAAATTTTGCGAAAAAAGTATTTTATTGTTAATTTTCCACAGATTTTACTTTAGTTGTATTAATTAGTTTTTAAATTTTAATCCTTATCTACATTTGCCAGTTGCCAGCAGTGTAAACTTTGAGAGAAAAGTTCATTTGGCACGCAAGTCTTTTTCAGGTGTATTTTTTCTTAGGCTTTGTATAAAAAAAGTACAAAAAATAAAAAAAACTGTATAAGGTTGGTCGAATGAATGGCCGTCCTAGTCACCAGTTCCGAGTCTATTCGATTTTTGAGTATGAGGCCTTATGTTGGACAGAAGGGGGAGTATAAAGGACTCAAAATTAACTGACTAAGACCTGTGTGCCAAATGAAAACCTGGGTAACAGATATTCGTCGCCACGCTGTATAACCTGCTAGACTTTTAATAGAAAAATAGCCACAACTAATTAAGTGTTGGAATTGATGCATGGCCAAACCCATCTCATGGCGAGTCATACTGGGTAGCAATACAGATTGCACGATCATACAAAGGGTCCAAACATCCAAAATTCATGGAATACCTCCGCCACTTATAATAAATTACGCACCAGAAACTAAATCTTCAAGTAAAAAACGGTAATCAACAACCTAATCAAAAATGAAGTCAAAACGTGTATTAGAACCCTTAAGGACAACATCGTTCTAGGAGGTCGACCGCAGTCCATAAAAAATTAGTAAGCCGAACTGTACAGAGGGAGCAAATGGATCGTAACACGACTCCGTTCGGGTTGGTGCCACAGGCTTGAACACATGGCAAAAACCTGCCTAGATTGCTTTCCGAGACAAAAGATGAAGACGTTACAACAATAAAGCATAGTCTTGTAATCAAAGTAATCTAACGTTAGTGGGCTTAAAGATGTGGTGTGTGGGATTAAGATGTGGTATTAACTAGGAATTCTTCGCATATTGGTGAAACATAGATACATATTGAAAAGAGGTATTTACTGAGACCTAGATGGTCTTTTATGCCCATCCATCACTGATCACAAAACCTTTTTTTTTTTTATCCTAGAGACTACAGAAAGTCCAGAAGAGCTTTTGGAGGGTAAGAATTGTGCACATACATTCATAATGGAGATACTTAAGTTAGTTGATGGTGAATATATACATACATATTCGCATTAATTTTGATACAAGTTGTCATCAAGCCCTATGGATTAGGTTAGAATTTAATGCTTTGGTATCAGTAAATTTGCATCCATCAACAGAAATTTAAACACTTCTGGATATAGTGATAACATAATGGAGTATGTGGATACCTCGTTATATTCTCTTTTCTTTGGCTAGTCAGCTGTAAGTCCCATTTTTCAAGATTGTGCTATGCCACAGAACATAGGAACACTTATAGAAGCCCTTTTATTCTGTTTGTTCAAAACATGTAACGGAATATTTGAATGCAAAGGAAATAAATAGGAACTAGCCCGAAATAGGCCAGGTGAATCCGATAGAGAACTGTTGGGTTATTCTTAGTTGGCTCAGCAAACAACCCTCACCCTTAACGCTTAGTTGAGCTTGAACACAACAATAAAAACCACAATGAGGATCCTCACATATGGTACTCGAGTACCATAATTCCATCTGACAGTTTTTTTTTTTGATAACAAATGTGCTGAATGGACCTGTGTTGAACGGCTTTTTGTATATATCGCACTCCGCCTTCAAACGAGGCACACTTCAAAAAAAAACATATATATTGGACGATTTTTTTCAATAAATCCATTTCGGGGATTTTTCTCAAATTAATGCAAATATTTTTTCTTCATGTGCGATATGTGTTTGGCTATAGGTATTTTCCTGTATATAATTATTATAACTGGTTCAAATGGATGTATGAAAGCAACGGTTAGCATAGCCCATGGATTTTTATACATATCGTTGTTTAAAGTACAAAACCGCGTATCAACAAAATGCAAAACCGCGTATGTGAGGTTGCATAAATTATTTTCTAGACAGTAAAAACACTTAAATTTCAGAACGGTTCTCTTTTTTATAAAGCAATCGCATTTCTGGCTAGTATATTTCAGGACGAATGGATAAGGATTGAGCCAAGAGCTTGTGTGAGCAAATCCAATTTTTGGCAGCCAATGTCATTTACGCGGTTTCGCAGAATGACGATACGCGGTTTTGTACTTTAAACGACGATATATGTATGTAGGTATGTAGGAAATAAAATAAAAATAAAAACCTCTTTTTGGAGGCATATGCTATGTGCATAAAAAATCGTTAATAAGAAAGGATGGATAACTAAAATTTGTGTTTGCTATGGAGGTACGATACGTTCTGGGAATATTCTTTAATATTATAAAACTTTCAATAGCAAAAATTGGCAACACTAAGCAAAAAAATATCACGTTAACATTAATATTAATTGGAAAATAGTTACTGAATCTTGTAATACATATTCAAAATATGGTGCCCTTTTTTAACCCCTCTATTTTTTATTAGATTTTTATTTATGTACATATATTGCAACTATGTTTTCTCTGAATAACAATTTATATGCAAACATCTTTCCAATTCAATATCAAGCAATTGACATTATTTCTTTTCCAGGTTTTCGCAACTTATCAACTTTTACAAGCAATTTTGTCCAATTTATTTTGTTTAAAACCTACTTACCCCGATGGCGATTCCGCATTTGGATGCAGTTGCATTGTTAAATCACCCAAACGACTAAACGCTTGTCCAGCGGCCGTAAATATTTCGCCAACCTGCAAGATATTATCCAATATTAATACTCCAACCAATATAATCGGCCCACAATTGGATGCCCAGCGTTGAGGTGCGGCGTCGAGGGTCATTTGTTTAGAAGCACACCTCAAAACAAAAACCGAAATAAATAATGTCCGT